ATCCTCTTTTGCAGCATGCTATGACTAATGAATTGCAGGCTTTAGACAAAACTCATACTTGGGACGTTGTTGATCTTCCCCTTGGCAAGACTACCATTGGTTGCAAATGGGTATACAAAATCAAGACCTGTTCTGATGGCTCTATTAAGCTCTACAAAGCCCGCCTTGTTGCCAAAGACATCAACCAAGAGTGTGGTATTGATTATGAGGAGACATTTGCTCCTGTTGCCCGTTTCACCTCTGTTCGCAGCTTGATTGTTGTTGTTGCCACCTGTCAATGGCCTTTTTACCAACTCGACGTGAAAAATGCCTTCCTTAATGGTGTTCTTCTTGAGGAGGTCTATATACAACCTCCCCTGGGTGTACTTATCCACCTCATAAGGTCTGCAAACTTCAACGTGCTTTGTATGGTCTAAAACAAGCCCCGCGTGCTTGGTTTGCCAAGTTCAGCTCTACTATTCATGATTATGGTTTCACCTCCAATTCTTATGATACTGCTCTCTTTATGCGGAAAATTGCTCAAGGGACCACCCTGCTTCTGCTTTATGTGGATGACATGATTATCATCGGTGATGATATGGCTAGTATTCTTCGCCTTAAACAGTTTCTTAGCCATCATTTCGAGATGAAAGATCTTGGTCCTCTCAACTATTTCTTGGGTCTTGAAATCTCCCATGATTCCACGAGTTCGTTTCTCTCTCAGGCTAAGTGTACCTCTGATCTTCTCGCCCGCGCTGGTCTTACTGATTACAAGATTGCCTTCACTCCCCTAGAGCCTCAGAATCGTCTTACTTCTATTGATGGCACTCTTCTCTCTGATGCTACCCTGTATCGTCAGCTGGTTGGCAGCCTTGTCTATCTCATTGTTACTCGTCCTGACATTGCCTATGCAATTCATATTGTCAGCCAGTATATGTCGGCTCCTCGTACCCCTCATTATGATGCTTTAGTGCGTATCCTTCGCTATCTCAAAGGCACCTTGTTTCATGGTCTTCATTATTCCGCTCATTCCTCTCTTCAGCTTCGTGCCTTCTCCGATGCTGATTGGGCTGGGGATCCCACTGACCGCCGCTCTACTACAGGGTTTTATTTTTTCTTAGGCGATTCTATTATTTCTTGGCGTAGCAAGAAACAATCTCTTATTGCTCGTTCCAGTATAGAAGTTGAATACCATGCTCTTGCTGATACTACTCAGGAGTTTCTCTGGCTTCATTGGCTTCTTGCTGACATGGATGTTACCCCCTCTAGAGCTACTGCCCTCTTTTGTGATAATCAAAGTGCTTTTCAAATTGCTCACAATGATGTTTTTCATGATCGCACTAAGCACATTGAGATTGACTGCCATTTATTCGTCAACACGTCACTCGTGGTACTGTTCATCTCCATCCGATCTCTTCTGCTGATCAACCTGCTGATATCTTCACCAAAGCTCATTCTCCTGGCCGCTTCATTGAACTTGTTTCCAAACTCTAGTTGGTTGATATTTATTCTCCTTGAGTTTGAGGGGGGCTATTAAAGATATATCACTACAAGAAAAAACACTTTTGGCGACCACCTATTTTTTTTGGTCGCAAATAGTCCACTTTCTGCGACTAAAATTTAACTTTTGGAGATCTTGGTCCTCTCAGCTATTTCTTGGGTCTTGAAATCTTCCATGATTCCACGAGTTCGTTTCTCTCTCAGGCTAAGTGTACCTCTGATCTTCTCGCCCGCGCTGGTCTTACTGATTGCAAGACTGCCTCCACTCCCCTAGAGCCTCAGAATCGTCTTACTCCTATTGATGGCACTCTTCTCTCTGATGCTACCCTGTATCGTTAGCTGGTTGGCAGCCTTGTCTATCTCATTATTACTCGTCCTGATATTGCCTATACAGTTCATATTGTCAGCCAGTATATGTCGGCTTCTCGTACCCCTCATTATGATGCTTTAGTGCGTATCCTTCGCTATCTCAAAGGCACCTTGTTTCATGGTCTTCATTATTCCGCTCATTCCTCTCTTCAGCTTCGTGCTTTCTCCGATGCTGATTGAGCTGGGGATCCCACTGGCCACTGCTCTACTACAGGGTTCTATTTTTTCTTAGGCGATTCTCTTATTTCTTGGCGCAGCAAGAAACAATCTCTTACTGCTCGTTCCAGTATAGAAGCTGAATACCATGCTCTTGCCGATACTACTTAGGAGCTTCTCTAGCTTCATTGGCTTCTTGCTGACATAGATGTTACCCCCTATAGAGCTACTGCCCTCTTTTGTGATAATCAAAGTGCTATTCAAATTGCTCACAATGATGTTTATCATGATCGCACTAAGCACATTGAGATTGACTACCATTTTATTCGTCAACACGTCACTCGCAGGACTGTTCATCTCCATCTGATCTCTTTTGCTGATCAACCTGCTGATATCTTCAACAAAGCTCATTCTCCTGGCCACTTCATTGAACTTGTTTCCAAACTCCAGTTGGTTGATATTTATCCTCCTTGAGGTTGAGGGGGGCTGTTAAAGATATATATATATATATTAAATATATAAACAATGTATAGATTAGATTAATGTATAATGGATAGGTTAGGTGTAGTGAATGCTTTCCCTTTGTTTCTTTCGGTCACTTTCCCTCTCTCAAGCCATGATGATGTTTGTATCATGATGGTGTTTGTATCATGATGATGTTTGTATTCACTCCTATATAACGGAGAACATGCACATTGATGAATATATAGAATTGCACAGATACTTCACACTCTCTCAAATTCTATCCCCCTCTTAACTTATTTTACAATAAGGGCCCTAGATATCTTTATGTATATCAGATTTTTTAAATTGAGTGGATTTAATGAAACACAATGTTTGACAACAGGACAGAAATATATACATGTCATATTTGATTCATTGCTTGATCAAATTAAACTAAAAGCAAAGAGATAGATTACAACACTGGTTCCTGCAATTTGTTTCTTGCATTATTTTGGTCTCTACTACACTTTTAGTTGACTTAGTTTTGTCATTTAATTTTAATTTTGCGTCAATTTGGTTCAATTGATGACATTGGTTGGGATTTTTTACGAAAAATAGTCACTGCGTTGGTAGAGGTTAACTCACTAATTTGAGCAAATTTACGAATATTGCTCCTAAAAACATGACACATGACCACTCACATGTGCTCTTTCCATCTAACGGGTGTAATCAATTGGACCAAAATCAAGCCAATTAAAAGTATAAGGATAAAAATGATGCAAGAGCCGAAGTACATGGACTATCAGTGTATTTTAGCCTATGCAAAATTAGAGTCAGATCACTGTGTTAGTAAAAATTGTTGTATTGTTTTGAAATTGTCAAAACTCAACTGTAGAAGCAGAACTTCCTGGCAGAACATTACTGGATAGCCTAAAAACAATGCTTAAAATGAGTGCTCTCAGTAAATTGCTATTGCAACTATATATTTTATTCTTCTTCTTCTTCTTCTTCTTCTTCTTTCTTTTATTTTTAATTTTTAATTTTTTTTATTAATGTTTTCTTCTCAACTTCTGGACTTATGGGTAGTAAAGAGACGATGCAAGAGCATGTCTATACCGGTGTTGGCTTACTGGTTGGCTCGACAATCTTGCTTCTCACTTTACTTTGGGGAACATGTGTTATTGTTTCCAGTCAAAACTTTTTCAAAAATTCTAAGTCTAATCCTTCAGTCAATTCAAATCATACTCCACAAAACCCATTTTGGAGATTGTTATCATTCTGAACTGGTTCGCTGTCTCTTCTTCTTTTCCCTTGTTGATTGATATGTTTTTTTTGTAAGTACTTAAATGAAATTAAACTAAATTTTTTGTGCTTTGTGTTTTCATTTTTTTACAGGTCATGGTATAACTACAAATATAGAGGCTAGTTACATTGCAAGGATTATGGTTCTCTCGATCATACCATTTATAATCATCCAAATCCTAAATCTTCCATTTATTTTCTTCTGGGAAACGTATTGTCATCATATTCACTCTAGTTATTTCCGTTGTATTCCTTCTCGTGTATTTCTTCTATCAAGTATTCAATTTAGGCATTTATGATCGCAAAAACAATACAAACACCTTTTTCTTCTAGAAAAGTGCACAAGCATATTCATCTTGGATGGGGGGTCACACCCTGCTAGCACTACATTTTGTGCACTTTCATAGGAAAAAAAATGTTGTTTTTGTTTCGTTATTGTTTAATTTTGTGAAATTTTGTTAAAAAATATGTGAAATTTCTCTTTTTCTTTTTTGTAACATTATTGTTTATATATTTGTAACGATTATTTTGTTTTGAAATATATTGCACTGCTTTTTGTGCACTTTCGTACTAAAATTTCTCTGTTTGTTATGTATTGTTTAGTTTCGTGAAATTTCACTGTATGTAGCATTATTGTTTATATCTTTGTAACAATTATTTGTTTTGAAAAATCATGCAAATTTTCCAGCCTTGGATCCAAAAGCGAAGGCTAGAATATGTAAAACATGAGCATATAGAAATAGACACTTTAAGACACATGCAAAAGCATGCACTCGGAAAACTCCTCACTGAAGACGGTACACCAAATGTATCAACAATCAGAAGGTAATGTTTTCAAGAAAATATATATATATTTTTTTGTGTGGTGTTTGTATGTGTCAAGTTCTTAATTTTCCATACAAAATATATTGAATTTTAGGCTATTTAAGGAAGTAGATCAAGATGGCGATAATAAGATAACATTCGATGAATTAAAAAAAAAATCTTCATGAAATCAAGTATAAAAGATGGTATGTAGACAAAGATATAGCGGTGTCCGAGGTGTTGAAAGAATTTGATCTTGACAGTGACAAGACGATTACCATGGATGAGTTTGTCAATGGATACACAAAATGGCTTGACGATGCAAAGCAATCAATGGATAAAGAATATCACTCGGTAAAATCATTGAAAGATTTATATAAGGTAAATTCATCTATATGAATTCTACACGTGGATTCGTTCGTATTCATTTATGATTCATTTTGTTTTTGCAGATTATTTGAAAACATTGATCGTGACAAAGATAATTGCATATCGCAATCTGAGTTGAAACAACTGGTTATGAATATCAAGTTTCGTAATATGCCTTTAGACGCAGATGAAGCGGTTGAAAAAATAATGGAAGAGCTTGACATAAATGGAGATAAAGTGCTTAATGAGGAGGAGTTTGTCGCTGGTTTCTCAAAATGGCTCAACACAGCCAATAATCAAACTCCCAACTCAATAGAGTCTGTGGATGAAATAAAGCAAGTTAGTATTGTTTTCTATTTTCTGTTTTCATTTTTCGGAAAACACTTCCTCATCTTTACTATTTTCTGTAAAACACTGCCTAATCTTTATTATTCTCGATCAATGCTATACGGAAGCATATAGAATGAACAAAAAACACATGGACAATTATAACATTATAGGGGAAAAAATTATCTGATTTTTATGACTTAATCAATAGTTGATTTATCTCAAAGGCTTGCAACCTAATTTGTAGTAAACGTTATCAGGTGACGAAGTCATAATTCACGTCCCAAATCAAGCCAAAATTACCCAAATTTACTTCCCACAAAAATCGTGATTCAAAATGGATCTACCTAGAACCCCGAAATTAAGCATTCAATTTTTTTCAAAAAGAAAAGAAAATTTCTTAATTTGGAGGCCTAAATGATGGACTTCACCCAAAATTCAGCAAAGATCACTCCTAAGAAATGAGTTGTACTTGTTGGGTTGCTTCGAATCAAATATGGATGTTTTGGGCTTGATTTGACAGCCTTGAAAAATCAACAAATTCACCTCATTTTTTCCAATCAAACTGCTCAATGAATTTATTGTCAGTCACCACTGCATCACTAGTTATCACTATTCTGACAAGAAATGTTTTGGGTTATGCAGAAAAAATGGGAAGAGACAGACATGTCGGTAGAAGATAGACGTGTTGATACATCTCCATGGGTATAGATAAAGGCTATAATGCTTTTGGTGGTAGGAATTGCCCTAGTAGAACCACTGATACATAGTGTTCAATACTTCTCCAAATCAGCAAGTATGCCATCTTTCTTCATAGCATTTATCATAGTCCCATTTGGCTACCAATGCTAAAGGTTCAATATCAGCGATCAAAGCTGCGAGTTGGAAGAATCCAAGAACTACTTCTCTCACATTTTCTGAGGTTTTTGTTCCTTCTTTTGTATCTCCATTTGAAGCAAAACAAGAAAAACTAGAACTAGAAAACATAATAGTTAGAATGGTTTTTTTTTTTTTTTTGGCCTCTCTAAATTTTAGGTTTTTTTTATGACTATATGTAACACTACAAAAATTTCAGTTTTTTGCAACGGCACAATGCCGTCGCTAATACTCTTAATGTCGTCTCAAAAAAGTTTTAGCGACAGCAAATGGGGGGTCACAACAGAGGGCGTTGCAAAAACCTTTTAGCGACAACATAGCCTTTTTTTAGTGACGACAATTGTTACCTTTTGCGACGGCAATTTACTATCACATATAATATGTAAAAAAGTCAGACCTTTTGTGACGGCACCGTTTTACAGTCGCTAAAAGTTTTTTTTGAGACGGCAAAAAATGTTGTCGCGAATGGTTTTGTTTTTTTGCAACGGCATGCCCACTATAGCCAATGGTTCTAATATTTTTTGTTGACAGATATGGTGCCGTCTCCAAAAAAAAAAAAAAAAAAAAAAAATGCAATATAATTATTATAAATATACAATGCTACCATCGCAATAAATAAATAAATAAAAAATAAACTGCAATATAATTATAAATTACCTGTTTTTTGTGACGGTGTGGTGCCGTCGCAAAAAAAAAAATACTATTATTATTAAAAATTAAAATTACTATATTAAATGAAAAAATATTGAAAAAGAAACCAATAATTGCATAATTATATAAAAATTCCTGTATAAAAAAATAATTTCTTCCGTAATAAAAATATTCTTGCATTCATAACTACACAATCAACAATTACCCCACTACATAATGTTTTATAATACACATAATATTGTTCATTTTCAAAATAACATAACCAAAATTACAAGTTTTCTCATCATTCTTCGTGGGTTAAAAAAAACAAAAATTAGTCGCATTTTCACAGACATGCATTCCACAAGAAGCAAACTCCTACTCGGGAAATATCTAAAAACAAAAAATAAGTATAATTAATGAAACTATAATTATGTGTTAATATGTTAATTATAATAAAAAAACAAAAATTTAACTACTTTACAAATTATAAGGATAATAAGTAAATAATTTTGCCTTAGGACCGAAATCTGGCTCCTCCCCAAACCGGGAACCCAATTCGAGTCCCGTATTGCTCCCATGAGTCTCTCTGCTTAGGCGGTCGTGTGTGCTCAAATTCCTGCTACTTCGCATGCCTTTGGTGATTTTTTGGGCTTTAACACCTCGATTCTAAGTTCTTAAGAAACTAGTTTGTTAGAGTGAAATCGACCCTAACTCCCAAACAGGGAATCCGATTCGAATCCGTCTTCTCCACAAGTCTCTTGTGCCTAGGCGGTCGTTGTGGCCAAGTTTCATGCTACCCGACCCGTTTTGGTGATTTTGGGGGCATTAACACCTCAAATTCTAAGTTTCTTAAGAAAACTTTATTGATTCTTAAGAGTGAAATTCAGCTCTAACTTCCAAACCGAAATCCGATTCAAGTCCTCATCTTCTTCCACAAGTCTTTCATTTCTAGGCGGTCGCTTGTGCCAAGTTTCGTGCTACTCAATGCCGTTTGGTGATTTTGGGGCATTAACCACCTCAAATTCTATTGTTTCTTAAGAAATAGTTTGTTTCTTAATAGTGAAATCTGCTCTAACTCCCAACCGGGAACCTATTTGAGTTCCATCTTCTTCCACAAGTTCTTCGTCCTAGGCGTTCATGTGTGCCAAGTTTCGTGCTACTCCGACGCCGTTTGGTGATTTTGGGGACATTAACACCCTAATTCTAAGTTTCTTAAAAATACTAGTTTGAGCCTAGAGTGAAATCTGGCCCTAACTCCCAAACGGGAACCCGATTCGTGTCGCGTCTTCTCCCACAAGTCTCTTCATCCTAGCGGTCATGTTTGCCAATTTCGTGCTACTCCGACCCGTTGTGATTTTTGGGGCATTAACATCCTCAAATCTAAGTTCTTAAGAAACTAGCTTGTCTCTTAAGAGTGAAATCGGGCTATAAACTCCCAAACCGAGAACCTAATTTGAGTCCCGTCTTCTTCCATAAGTCTCTCGTGCTATGCAGTTGTGTGTTCCAGTTTTTGTACTAATTCGACGCCGTTTGGTGATTTTGGGGCAGTTAACACCTGATCTAGTTTTTAAGAAACTAGTTTGCCTAGAGTGAAATCCGCCCTAACTCCCAAACAGGAACTTGCGATTCGAGTCGTCTTCTCCCATAAGTCTCTCGTGCCTAGGCGACATGTGTGCCAAGTTTCATGCTACTCCGACGCTGTTTGGTGATTTTGGGGCATTAACACCTCAAATTCTAAGTTTCTTAAGAAACTAGTTTGTTTCTTAAGAGTGAAATCTAGCTCTAACTCCCAAACCGGAAATCCGATTTGAGTCCCGTCTTCTCCCACAAGTCTCTCGTGCCTAGGCGGTCGTGTGTGCCAAGTTTCGTGCTACTCCGACGTCGTTTGGTGATTTTGGGGCATTAACACCTCAAATTCTAAGTTTCTCAAGAAACTAGTGTAGACACCCCATTTTTGACCGACCTTAAGACTCAGACGTCATCGATTGAGCGCTCGGTGATAGTGCATGTTTGTGCTCATTTTGAGTTTTCGGAGTTTTCGGCTGAGTGCCTTGCCTCTGGGCCTCTGAACTCTTTGTGTTTTGGCTCGGTTTGTGGACCAAGCCTTGTTGACCTTGCCTGGAGGGAGAGAGAGGTCTGTAAACCACTTTTTGTGGTCGTAGTGGTTGTAGACCACTTTTTCCTCTGGTAGGCTAGTTTTCGGTTTCCGGAGCCTTCGGCCGAGAGCCTTGTCTTGCTTCCCTTTTGGTTTGGTTTTGAACCTAACCTTGTTTTCCCTTGCCTAGAGGGACACTGAGGTCTTGGAGACCACTTTTTATGGTCATAGACCACTTTTTCCTCTTGGAGACTAGTTTTCGATTTCTGGAGTCTTCGGCAGCGTGCCTTGTCTCGAGACCGCTTAGCGTTCTCCTCTTGGCTTGGTTTTCGAACCATGCCTTGTTGCCTTTTCCTAGAGGGACACTGAGGTCTGGGAGACCACTTTTTGTGGTCGTAGACCACTTTTCTCTTGTAGACCACTTTTGGTGTCCGTAGACTAGTTTTCGAGGCCTCCGGCTGCGCGCCTTGTCCCTCGGACTTTCGTCTTGCATCCTTTTTGGTTTGTTTTTGGTACAAACCTTGTTTTCCTTGCTTGCAGGGTGGAATGAGGGTGGGAGACCAGTTTCTCTCCCTAAAAACCACTTTTCTTCCCCGCCAGCCAGTTTTCTTCCCTGTAGACCACTTTTGTGTGCAGACCCCTCCTCCCCTTGGCCGACCACTTTGCTTTCTGGGAGACCACTTTCACTGGTCGGCCAACCAGTGTAAGTAGCTGGCCGACCACTCTGCTTTCCAGCACGTTTTTGAAGATCCTTTCTTGCCAGCTGTGCCAGCTGGAGGGCGCAGAAACCATCCTCCATACACGTGTATGGAGGGATGGCTTGGAGCTCTTAGCTTCCTCAACAAGCTTGTTGTTTGTTCTTCTATATAAGGGAGGTCCTCTCTCCCTTCTCCAGGTTCAGAAAAAAGTTGTTTGAGCTATACATATCATCTATCTCTATACTTCTTCATTTCACTTCATATTTGTGCTCAAAAGTGCCTATTCTTTACACTTTTGCACACAAACACATAGTGAAACACCATACTCTTGTTGCTGAGGCACTTTGAAGTTGGTTTTAGTGTTTTTGGACTGGTTTTGATCCCAAAAAACTGCTGGAGTTGTTGCTCTAAAGTTGTTCTACAAGGGTGAGCTTTTAACATCTTAAACCCTTGTTTTTGATTAAGCTTTTGGCCCTATTTGCATGTTTATTTAGGCCTAACTTTATACTACAAAAAGTTCTAATTTCACATGCTTGAAATGTTTGTTTAAGGCCTTGTTGGTGTTGGGGGTGGTCTACCCCCTTTTGTGCCTTGTTTGACCTTGTTTTTTGCTATCCTTTTAAGCTATTGGGACCACCTCCTTTTGGCCTTCTCACCACTGAAACTCAGAGGAATTTCAGTGGTGAAAAGTGTGTTTTTAGGTCCCAAATAGGAGGGGGTCATCCCCTCTCCTTCTATCTTGAATACTTGCCTTATTAGCCTTATGTTTGAGCATGTTTATCTAGCATATTTTGGCTCCATCTCAGCATATTTTTTGTGTTATTTTGACATGGCATACCTCTTTTTTAGCTTGGTTGAGTCACCACTTGCATGCATTCTACACTTGTAGTGTAATCTTGCATGTTAGCCTAACATGCATCATGTTTTTGGACCATCATTCTAGCATGTTTTGGCTCAGCTCCAAGAAGATTTTGTTCATGTTTTACCATGTTTAAGCTCTGATTTAAGTGTTTTGGGCCATGCATGCCTTGCTTTGTATAGCTATAGTTCATTCATACTTCCTAGCTTTGAGTTTCCAAGCCACTAGCATGCATTGCTTGAGCTATTCACATCATTTCGCATCATTTGTTATGTGATTTCAGAGCATGTTTCATTGCCATGCCCTCACATCTCTCATTTATTCAATGCTTTGGAGGGTTCATGCTTAATGCTTTGGAGGGTTCATGCTTTATGCTTTAAACATGAGCCTTTGTGCATGCCATCTTGCCTAGCCTTTTGGGCCACCATTTCAGTATGTATTTGGCCCTATTTTGTCATGATACAACTCTGATTTTTGTTGGTTAAGCCATCTCATGCTTGGTTTTGGTAGGTGTAGTGTAATCCTCCTTGTAGGCCTTGCATGCTTGTTGTTTTGGCCCTTCATGCTAGCTTGTTTTGGCTTTGCACCATGCATGTTTT